CCTTCCTTGTTGGGTTTTTTCTCTTCCCCCCCCCCCCTTCTCTTTTTCACGCTTTTCTCAAATGAGGACACTACTGTGAAAGGTGAAATAAACCAGTTCCTGTGAACTCTGATTTATGAGTTCTGACTTGGGGACATTAGTTTCAATACTCTATCTATCTATCTATCTATCTATCTCCCCTGTGTATCAAGATCTGCGACCTGAAGAAGGTTTTTTTCAAGTGACCCATTTTTTCCGAGGGGCTCTGGATCTTTCTGCAGAAATCTGTTTCTAGTTGGAGTTGCACAAACGGGCAAGTGCTTTCATTCTTTAAATAAATTTTGCAAATAGATACATAGACTTCCCTTACGGCTTTTCACTGAAGAATTCTTTTTAATTTCTTACTTATCTTTCAGATATAAAGTTAAAAAAAAAAGGAGAAAATAAAAAAAAGTATTGTGCTATTCATTGTAATAAAACCAAATTAAATTTAATCATGAAGCAGGGCTTTCTACAATAAAAAAATATGTTATATCAGAGGAGGGATAAGATTTTTCACCTATGGCTACAGGGTGTGCTCTTTCCTGTGGAACTGGAGCAGTTTTGCTGAACTGCTGAGTTGCAGATGATTTCATGCATCAGAGAATATAGACAGCACTCTGAAAAGAGGGGATTAGAGATACCCTGTATACTGTTGCAAGAACTAAAAACATATACTGTCCTTATAGGAGGTCATTTAGCTAAAATAATGAATTCTTTTGTCATTAAGAATTGTTTCCAACAGACCAGTGTGAAAGAGTAAGTCAGATGGTATGGTGTTACTACAGAAATCTTACAAATGTGACGATTGAGTCCTGAGCTGCTTGGCCTGCATATTCAGAGCTTCCCTAGCACTCTCTGTCCTTCAGCACTGATGCTTTGTTGACCCTTGTAGTTTGTTTTTGGAGAGAGACTTTGTCTCGTGCTCTTCTGTGGAAGTTGTATTTTTAGCATTGGAAGTCATTCTGGACAGAAAAAGGCGAGGGGGGGCAGGGAGCAGAAGGGAGCAGTGGTCAGAGTAAAGAACCGTTTTACTTGAAAAGAAATATGTCAAAACAAGATACTTTGGAATTTAAATGAATATACTCTTTGAAACACCAAAGTTCCAAATAATTTCCAGTGACAAGATCCAGTTTCAACATCTCGGCATTTTCCTGTAACTACTGTTTCACTGTTTCATCAGAAAGGTCCTTAAAGCAACTCTATTTTGGCATATGTGCTTTTGTATTTATTACTGTTTTCTCTTATGTTCAGATCACTTAGCAAAGAAATCAACCATGACAGTGGAAACCGAATCCAGCAATGTCAGTGACTCAAACCAGGAGGCAGAACCTGCCCAGCTTTTGGATGATGAAGCAAACAAAAATCTACCAGTCAAAAAGAAGACTTCCTGTTGCACTGGCTTGAAGGTTTGGTGCCTTATCAATATGACCATGTTGTTACATGTTAAGAAATGTTGTTCAAGATACGACATAGCAGATAACTTCATTCCTGTTTACCCTATCTTTTCTGAAACTGGACACAAACTGAAGTACAGGGGATGGTTGGATCTTATCTTTGTCCTAAAGAAAATAAAAATTCCTGATCTGCCATATTACTCTCAAGTTACAGGTGGATGCCCTTTTGGCCACTAGACTGAGGCAGCAGCCTCCAGTTGAAGCAGCCTAAAATAGGTGGCTAGGATACACTGTTGCCTGGAGGAAGCTATCACCACCCATTCTTGTAGGGACAAAATCGGGTGAAGCGAATTGTATTCCAGGGCTTTTATCTAATCCAGGGCTGTAGGTCAAACAGTCCACTGATTCCCACAAACACACAAGCTTTCAGGAGCACACAAGAATTCATTGAACAAAACAAGTAAACTGAGAATTTTGCTTTCTTGTTGAAGCCTTAGAATGTATTGCTTCTGGCTGAGCTGCAAATGCTACAAGGGTAAGATTTCTTTTGGCACTGATGTGTTTGGGTTTATGTTTTGACTACTTCTTCAGCCAGCTTCCTCTCAGGTTAAGTTACATAGGCCCAGTGGAGTTGCAATGCAATAACATTGCAAATGCAATAACATTTCTTTCTATCAAACAGTCTATAAAATGGAAGATTAATGGAAAAAAATAGGTGATTGCAAGCTTCTCAAACATCCAAAATATTTTGGCTTAAGTATCAGGTAAGGGTTGTTATATTTCTTATCTGATTCACATTTGCCACCCATATACACCTGCAAAAATAGTCTGATTTCTCTGGGAGACTCAGTAGTAACTTGCCAACATATATGTGGGTAATACTATAAGACTGTGGATCTACGTCTGACTTTATGGCAATTACAATTTAACATGCACAATACCTTGGAGGTAATAAAAGACAAACTTATTTCCCTTCTTTTCCATTAAACATTTTGTGGTTTACCTGGGCATTGCTTTTTTGAACCCAAAATACCCAAATCACTTTTGTTTGTGTTTTCATGCTCGTCAGCAGTTCGTGATTTCAGACAAAACCCCTGAGAGCACTGCTGGAATAAGGCAAGAAAGGTGTTTCTCCCAGTCTTTTTGCCAGTTGAGCTCAGGAAATACCAAACATGTCAGATCAAAGCCTGCATTTCTGAGATTTTTCTCTTTATTCCTGATAAAAAGAGAGTAAATATACCTATTTTCAAGCTTTCACTTCTAATATTGGCTTCATTTCTTACAGTAGGTAGTATTACAAAGTCTAAATCTATATTTACTTTTGTTTACGTACCCAACATTTTGTTGTATTGGAACTTTTACCCACTGAGCAATAAGTCTATTTGTTTTTTAAGACTCTGTTGAAATAGCTGGATAATATTTAAACAAACTTAGTTTAACTTTCTATCAAACACATCTTTATTTGTAAAAGCCAATATGTGTGTTAGTGGAAACACCTGTAAAATTATAAAGAATATTAAGTTTTCCCTTATGAGGTGTATGATACACAGGCAACATAGCCATAATCCAAACGTTTCAAAATACATCATCTGAAACAGAGATGGACTCAACCAGTCTGTTCCACCTTCCACATACTGGGATATCATAAAAGCTTGCATAAAGCCTTTATTTTGATGCTATGGCTATCTATATATTTGAGATAGAACCAGTTATGAACTGGCCTACAATAAATGACATGGGGCCCAAGCAGAGGATAATTGGGTGAAGATTAATTTTAGGTTGGACTAGTATCAGTAAATCTATCCTTATTAGGTATTTTACCTCTGGCAAATTTTACACTTCTGCAACATCTAGAAATCTCACCATTTCATCTGCTCTCAGCTTTTTGATAAATGTAACTACAGGATGTCACTAGGTGAGTAGTTGCCAGTGAGTTCTTTGCCAAATTTAAGTTTCACAGGCATAGGATTTCTGCTTTGGAATACCTCTAGCCAGCAATGCAGACAAGATCAGGCTTTCTGTCCATTAAGATGGCTGTTGGAAACCTGAAGTCCAAAGGAAGCAGTTTCTCTCAGCACAGCACCTTGCACTAACCCTCTTCAACAGGGAAAGCCAGAAGCAAACAGTGCTGGGACACCACCCTGGTGCTCCATAGCATTAGAGTATGTGGAAATTCATTCACACAATATTGTAACTGCAATTTGAGTAACAAACGTATGACATTATAATGATTGCTCCACACGGTTTTAAACATCTTTGATCCCCCTGTGACCAGTTTTCCTGCTTCTACCTCCCATTTTCTGTCTTAATCTTTCCTCAGGCATTTCTTGCTGCTTTATCATTCAGCTACTTGAGTAAAACGTTGTCTGGCACGATTATGAAAAGTTCCATCACTCAGATTGAACGAAGGTTTGGCCTGACATCATCTACTGTTGGTTTCATTGATGGGAGCTTTGAGATAGGTAATTGATATTCTGTAACATCCAGAGATCTTCTCAGACAAATACAAGGCACCGCATCTGGAACTAATTCTGGTTCATTCATTACCTTCCAGGTAACTTGCTGGTGATTGCATTTGTAAGCTACTTTGGAGCTAAACTTCATAGGCCCAAAGTAATAGCTTTTGGATGCTTTACTATGGCTGTGGGAAGTTTTTTAACAGCAATGCCTCATTTCTTCATGGGATAGTAAGTACTCATCAAGATTAATTTGGGTAACCTAACACTGGAATCGGATACTGCTTTCTGGTTTTTGAATGAAACTTGGTGTATAGATTTCCAAAGGCCTATAGCACCTCACCTCAATGTGCAAGGAATCACACTTCACACACGTATCACTGCTCATTTTATCTGGTTGGAAAAATACGGCTTCTCTGAAGAAAAAGTTCGACTTCTTGAAAAACTAGGAAAATCGCAATGCTTTAGTTTTCAGACAGACTTGTTCAAAAAAAAAAGGCAAAGAACGAAATTATTTCCCAAAACCATTAGAATTTATTTTTTCAGGAAGAAACACTTACCTATTAAAATCTTATGAAAATTTAAGTTTCAAATGAAACACATTGTTCTTCGAAAATCTTCAACCACACTACTGTGCTGGTGCTGTTTTTTTAATTAATTATATACTTTTCCTGAATGGCAGACTGTAAGAACACCTATTGGGAAAATCATTGTCAACTTAAGAGTGTGGCATCATGCATTGTTAGTAAAGATGTCAGGATCATGCAGGCAGGAAAGACAAACCATTATGAATCACAGTAAAATTATGAGGAGTATAGAATCCACGTATATGATTTCCAGAGTACGTCTGTGCTGTTCTGGACAGGATCGCAAAGCTCTGAGCAGATAACTTCATATTGAGTGACATCTCTACCTGAAATACAACTTTATTTATAGCAACAGGTAACTCATGTAGAATCAGGGATTCAAAGCTTACTCGGTGAAGAAACCAGCCCTCAAAGATGCTCAGTAGAATAAATCCTGCTCCTTGAAAGAAGAAAACAGAGCCTTGTTGTGTAAGGTGACACATTTTGCTCTTCTGTGGCAAGCAGCTGCTCCTCACACAAAGCAGCCTCTCAGCTTTGTGCAGAGCCTGCAGATGGATCAGTGCTGGTAGAGCTGATACCAGGGTTTTCCTGTTCCAAATGCACATGGCTGGTTAAACTGATTTTCCATGGCTGGTTAAACTGATTTTTATTCATTTTCTCCAGGCTCAGAGAATCATGGCATGTTGCTTATATGCCATAATGTTTCCAGCCATAGCTTTGATACAGTGATAGCATATAGAGTAAAACACATTGCTGTTGCTCTTTTAAATATATTAGAATAGTGTAAAAAGAAAACTAGGGAATGCTTTTTGTCATGCCTGTCAATCTTGTACTAGCATCAGGTTTGTACTTTCCATACAGTTTCTCATGAACCTGGGCTTGAAAGCTTATGAGGAAACTGTTCTGCACTGTCTCTTCTGATGAATGCTCCTTGTTTCAACATGAAAAATAAGCCTGCCATGTTTAATGGAGTTAGCCCAGTTCCTAGAAGCAGAATGTGCGCTTTACCATGTTGTTCTGCTTAAACTAATTGTACTTTGCAGCTCAGCAGGGCTCATATTTTGGAAAAGGATCATGCTGCTGAACACCTTCCATCACCTGAGCTGCTCAGCTGTCTTTTCACAGCATTGCTCCCTGTAAATACAGCCAAAAAGTGTCTTTCAGCTACTAACTTTATCCACCCGCCTTTATACAACAGCTCTTCCTAAAGACAATGCAAATTATCAGGCAAACAGGTACTGCCTGAAGATGGCTTCTCCTTACTCCTTTCATCCTCACCACCTCAAAATACACATCTAAGATGAAAAGAGAGACTTTTACACTCACAGTCAAGAGATTCTTCTCTTCCTTGTTGACTGTGGGGTCAGCATAAGGAGCCCACCTGGACCTGACCCTAAATTTTGATACCAAAGTTTTGATCCTATCTGAATTACTTACAACAGCCCTTTTGAATTTTCCAGCTTAAAATGTTATGTCTTCTAGACAGCTGAATCTTGTTCTTCATTTTAGTGTTTTGGTTTTCCACAATGTGGTTAAATAACCTTTTTTGCTCCTTCCATAGCACTTTGTATTGATATTTAAACAGATACCTTTCTCTTTATGGAAATAGCGATCAAGTGCTTCCTTCCCTATTACACTAGTATTTCCCTAATGGACACTGCTTCTAAACCTACTGTTGTGTGTTTTCAGTTATAAGTATGAGACAACATCACATTCAGCTTCTTCAGCCAACTTGACTTCAAGCATAAATCCCTGTTCCCTACATCAAGATGTGAACGAAACCTTCTTGCAAGTCTCCAGGTCAGGTAAGGAACTCTAAGTGTAAGTACAAATACAGGAGCTAGTTCTATCCTCAGTTGCAAATAGAGTAAATCATTGCCACATGCAAGATGCTCAGTTAGATTTCCAATGTCAGCCTGTACCTGTTTGAGAACATTACCAATACTTAAATACACTTTGTGTATCACATTTGAAGAAGAAACATCCATCAAACACAAATTGTAAGGGTCCAGATCCCTGGTTTCTTATGTTCACACTTCCAAATTACAATAAAATCAACCTAGCACTGAAAGGGATGCTGAAACTATGTTTCAGTTACCTGAAGTTTGGGAGTTGGAAGAGATAGCCTGACAGGATATGAAACTGCACGGAGTTAACTGGAATAAATGAAGATTTCTGTAATCTTGATTACAATATGGAATACGGCTCTTGCATGTGCTGCTTTCCATGGGACACAGGTAAAGAAAGACTCAAGCTGTGTCCCAGAAACCATCTCAAACTTCTCACGTTAAAGATACATGCTATATGCCAGGTAATATATTTATGAAAATAGCAATCTCCCATTTTTTACACAGGTGTTTTTTCTGATGGATAATACTTACTTGTATTTTTAGAAACCAAATACAATGGAGGTAGAGGAAAGTGTTATTAGATTATTAAAAAGTATAATGAGATTGATGGCCTTTCATTAATCTTCCGTAAAGAAAATGCTGTTAATACCTTAAATATTAAACTATAATCATTTCATGTGCTGAATTTCCTGTGGTTTGTCACTGTTTTCTGTTCAACTGTTCTATTACAAAGATGTAAACTCTCATCTGCAGACTGTGAGAAGGAACCCACATCATATACGTGGATATACATCTTACTGGGAAACATGTTACGTGGAATTGGTGAGACACCAATAACACCACTGGGCATCTCTTATCTTGATGATTTTGCTAAAGAGGAGAATGTTCCTGTGTATGTAGGTAATCTCAACATAAAGTAAACTGAGATTTTTAGTGTAAGAGGTCTATCACCCTCTGCAGAAGAAAACGTTCAGCCATTAAAATGTACATACATCTGCTTCATTATATTTTCAGCATGTTTGCACACAATAGGCATGTTGGGTCCAATGTTTGGTTTCCTGTTGGGATCTTTATGTGCAAGACTGTATGTGGATGTCGGATTTGTGGACTTAGGTAAGCAAAACAACAAAAGTCGAAGTAAGCTAATACGTTCACAACAGGTTCCTCTACACAGTTGCATAGGTTTTTATTATGTTAACTATAGTAATGCAATTTATATTTTATTTATATTTATTTCATTAATTTTATTATTTAATTTATTATAGTTTTATTAATTTACTTGAATCTTTTAGGGTAAAGGCAGAATTGGACAGGGAACATATTTTAGAATTGTGGTTTAGGATTAAAGGATGAAAATACATATCTAAGTTTAAAAGTTAATACCAAGAACTATCACAGACCCAAAATGTTTCACTGAACTCTGGTCTTAATGAAAGGGTTCTGCTAGTATAGCAGTTTAATAGTTTTGGTGGATTACCTACCCTTTCATCTGAGCATTTTACATTATTTACAATTCATGTAATGATGTTTGCAGTATGGTATACCAGCCAGCCTTTGCTTATTCAAATGAAAAATGCATGTATTCACATCTACAAAATGCCAGAGGGAGCAGAGCAATCCCTGTAAGTCATCATGTAACAATCATAAAAATTAAATGCTTATCCTGCTTGCAATACGAAGTCATGGCTAATATCACTAATGCCACAGAGAATGCCCCTATGCTTAATAGCAACCTACACAGTTCAGGTTAGCAGAGGATGGTCTCAGTAGAAATGTATCATCATCCCTAAAAGGACCTTTTAGGGTTGCAGCTTGTCTGCCATCCATTTTTGGATTCCTATGTGTTGGATAAAGACCTCTGCGTTACCATATATGCCACAAAATGGCAGTCACCGTAAGACATAGAAAGGCAGATGAAACACCATCATTCAAAGTATGGTACCTGATGTCTTCACTGCTTGCATTGTCTCTCATTAGATGATTATGGTTACCACTTAAAGGCAGACATTGTAAAATGTAGCTATTGTAGTAGGTAAAGGGTGGGAAGGTTCAGTTTCTTCATTTACGTAACTTGTATCTGCTTCCTTCATTTCTAGGCAGCATCACTATCACCCCACAGGACTCCCGCTGGGTGGGTGCGTGGTGGCTTGGTTTTTTAATAGCTGGAGTAACCAGTTTGCTGGCTGCTATTCCATTCTGCTTCCTGCCAAAGAGCCTGAAAAAGCCAAAGGAAGCCAACAATGACCAAACTTCATACGGTCTCTTGGAAAACATTGGTTCTATGGGGAAGAAACTTACTGCTGCAAAACCTAAGCCCAGGAAGTGGTCAGTAATACTGAAAGGCAAGTGTTTCACATGTTGTATAAATGTGAAAAGGCAAAAGCACAATGTACAGTGGGAATGTAATAGTACTGAAAAATATTTTGCCTCCCTTCCACTTCAGTCTGAACCAGTTAGCTGTCCCCAGGAAAGGAGGCGTCTGCTAAAAGTTATTAAAAGTCAAAGAGCTTGTTCAAGACTGTGAGGTTCTGCATGCATCACTTGCAATGCATTGTAGCCTGAGCAGCACCTGCCTCTAAAATTTTGTGGTAGAAGAAATTTGAAGAGTGGGGAAAAATTTTCTGTATCAGGACCTAAAGAAAATATTAGAAGGCTCCTTTTGCAATATGGAAAGCCAGATTATTCATCCAGTCATCATACAGCTCATGGAGACGCTGAAGCACATTGCTGCCTAAGGAAAACACACGTGTCCTCAGGCTAAGAGAGGAGTGAAAAGGAGGTGGGAAGAGATAGCCTTGCATCATTAGCCAAATTCTCCTGTCTTTGTTCAGATCCCAGTGGAAGACACCTGTGTATCTCCACAAAGGCAGTTCTTACTTAGCCTTGAACCTGTGACAATATCTATGTAAGCTGAAAGAAGTGGAGCCCTTTAGTCTTCAGGTGCAGACCTCACTGAAGCACCCAGGCTTTAACCCATACTTCTGTCTTCTTATAGGATTCTCTTCCTGTATCTCAACCTCTGGTGTTTTTCAAGAACGTGATTTTGTTTTTAGATACTCGCATGCAAATGAAGATCAGTATGACCTGCACTTGGACACCTGAGAGAAGGATTTTGCCCTAAGTTTTGTAGATTACTCACCAGTAATTATGCCATGCATCTTTCAAAGCCAACTCATATATCCCTTTCTTTCAGATTTCTATACCTCCCTGAAAAAAGTATTGAGTAATCGAATGTACTTTACATTTATGTGTTGCTCACTGTTACAGTTTAATAGCTTTATTGGTTTCTTGACTTACAAACCAAAGTACATGGAACAGCAGTATGGACAATCTACATCTAAATCTAACTTTCTAATAGGTGAGTTACACTGTGCAATGACTGCTTCTGCTATAAGCAGTGCATGGGAATAATTTCTGGCATGCTTTTTCTGGGACTGAATTCCTTGAAGAACAGGCTGATGTAAATGGCAGTCTGTCCTGAACTTGAATTATATAAAGGCAGCACACAAACTAATGTTTTGGTGCTTATGGGACCAGAATAAATAATGATATGATACATATGATACTATATGATATTATATTAAATTATGTCATGTCATGTCATATTATATATCATGTCATATTCTGTTATGTTATGTTACATTACATTATGTTATGTTAATATTCACATTATAGCAAGGGGCTCCCAAATATGCAATGCATGTGTTGTTGGAGTTTTAATTGGTGCAGCGTCTGACAAGTGCCTTACAGTGGAAGTGGGGTTTAAGGGTTAGGCACTTCAAAAATAGCATATGCAGCCCAGGGATTAGGCTGAGCACAAGGGACCTAAAGTCGTCATAATAGAACATAAAGCTGCTAGGGACATCAGTGTGAGGACAGACTTTGGCTCTTAAGCCCACTATGACTTTTTTATTTTAACATTCCCTTTCTATAATCTCTTTCAGGATTGACATCCTTACCTCCTGTAGGTCTTGGAATTTTCTTGGGAGGGCTTTTAATGAAAAAGTACAAAATGGGCATCATTGGAGCAACCAAGTTTGCATTTTCCATGTCATTTGTGGCCTATGCCCTTACTCTCTTGCACTTTTTTGTTGGCTGTGAGAACCACATGGTAGCAGGAATAACAGTGTCCTATCAAGGGTGAGTATAAAATGAAGAAGAGTATGATTTTCTCCATGGCAGCAATAGTTAAAAAAATGTACTTTGACATCCAGGCTAAAAGAGGAACATTCTTTTGCAATCCTTAAGAGAAAGTGAACACTACCACATGTCACTGTGATAGTTTTGTTGGTCAGCAGAGTGTCAGCCTGCCAAAGCACTACCCTAGTTAAAGATTGGTTAGAAATATATTAGCAAAATTGCATCATTGCTGATGTAGGTTGTTTGGATGAGTGTGTGTTGCTGTTTCACACAGCGCTATTTCTACACCAGAAGCAATTTTCTAATGAAGTGTATTCAGTAAAAGAGTGAAGCATATGTGACAGAGAGCACTGGTAGCATATCCTACACAGAGACAGAAAGACTGCAACATGCTAGACTCAGCCTTCTGTAAACCAAAATGAACCTTTTATGCCTAGTGAAAAATGCTCTCTCCACTCAGGAGACAACCAGGGTTCAAAAGTTACAGGCTGTTATTTTGTCTTGGAGAGAGTGAAGATACCACTAGAGGGGACGCATGCTGGGATCTAGCTGTCCAGAGGGCCCAGCAACACACTAGCGTATGGGTTGTCACTGCCTCGTGTCCAGCCTTCTCAGAGTACCTCATGGCTAGTGTGAACCTGCCTGCATCTCCCTGAAGACTTACCCGCATTTCCATAATTTGTCACTAAAGTTCATTTATCCAGCCATACTTGTTCACAGCTGAAAATGCGGAACTGGACAGGCAGCATGCCAAGGATGTTTATATTTCTTGGAACCTGAGAAATAACTGTTGCTTGTTCTGTACTCTGCGATGTTTCACTAAGAATGCAGATAATGGACCAGGGAATGTGCTTTGTAAGTGCTGAGGTGAAAGAGATGACAAGCACATAAGTTTAATTAACCCAGAAAGGAGAAGATGAGGGAAAACATCCCTCTTTGTTACAGACCTCAGTACCCAAAAAATGTCTGAAAGTAAAAGGAAATGCTGAATTCTCCATATCCTCTAGGAAAAGTCAGGCTTGGCTTTAAGATATGGATATTTTTTACTATGGAGACTGGGATATATCGTTTCTATGACTGGTGCAGTTTTAACAGGAACTAAAGATGTAGTTGATAAGGCAATGTAAACTGTTGCTAGCTCTGTGTTCAATTAGGTTTTAGCCTAGCTGACCTCTCAAAGCTTTTCCTTTTTCTTTTCTGTCTACCTCTGCCAAATAAAATCAGTGACAATGTTTCTATTTCTTTTAAAATTCTTTATAATCTAGTAATCACTTTAATGTCAGTGCAATTAGGATGGAATCTCAAACAAACAGATAAATACTGTAGAGACTCAACTATGAAAATGTATGTCCTGGGCCTATGAGGTGGGTTTCAGGACAGCAACAGTGTCACACGGAAGGGTAGATTCACCGACCTCAACACTGAATTAAAAGTTTTTTACACTTCTACACCTGTCTAAACTTAACTTCCAAGCAAACCCATTCCATATCATGAAAATGCTGTATTTTCTGAGTGCAACTCTGACTGCAAATGCTCCTCCAATGTGTGGGATCCTGTGTGTGGAGACAACGGAGTCACATACGTTTCGGCGTGTCTAGCTGGGTGCACGGCGTCGGTGGGACAAGGAAAGAACACAGTAAGACCCTGATTCAGTTTCTGAAGTTTTCTACTTGCTTATTTGCCATGTAACATCAAGGATTTAGTATTATAACATATTTAAGGAAAAGCAAAGTCACTGGGGACCAGTCAGTAAAGTATTTATGATTTCTGGCTACAAACAGCACAGAAGACAGAGAGATTTCTCTGAGTTACTGCGAGTTAAAGAAAATGTTCTACATCCTTGTTGTAGATATTGATTTTCATCTTTTGCAGATTGAACACAGGAGGGGGAAACAAACAGGCCAAAGTGGTTACATGTTGTGTGAAGGTTGTCCATGGCTTGCCTTTCATAAACCTGATTTTGGGTGCCCTGAGGTGTTAGCCAACAGTTGAAGTACACTAAGATAGTGTACTTCAGAAGTACAGATGAAGTACTACAGATAGTGCAGTATCTTTCCCAATACTGATCATTACTTTGTAAGTACAAAGAAGGACTTGAAGGGATGCAGTTTGTTTCTCCCATGTGAAACTCTGGGATGGCAGGATTCTACTATTTTTCTGGCTGACTGCTTTCTCCTCAGCACAGAGTGCTAGTGATAATGCACAGAGTCCCAAAGAGCAAGCTCCAGGCCACTGATACAAGCCGCCTTTGGACTGTATCATTCCCATGTTTTCTGATACTGGATAGTCACTCCAGAAGATACATGGTCTGGAGCTGTTTCTTGCAGCCAGACAGTTTTCTCTCCAACAGATTTGATTTTGAGGCTGGTTTCTCTCTGCTGTCTACAGTCACCTTCTCCAGAAGACATTATTTGCTTAAAATCTTAAGGTGGGAAGCAAGGGAGAAGGGCTCAACAGCATCCATGACAATGGGACCACTAATTCTCACACAAGTCTGTCTTTGTAGAGGTTAAGGTTTGTGGCTTACAGTTCCTTTTACCTCAGCACACCCTCAAGCCCCAGAAGCCTTAGCTAAAAGGTATTGCTCCTAAGCTCTCAGTACACCTACTACTGATCTCAGGGGTCTGCATGAGCTGTGTCTTGACACATAGCTACTGCTTACAGCTGTGAGGTACCTTTGATGGGTCAGCATTAGCAGAAAAGGTACTTTTTACAGACACAAGTCAGCAGAAAGGGGGTGTCACCTAGGAGCAAAAGGCACTTTTCCACTTTGACAGCCCTCTGGGGACACAAAAGCTGAGACCAGCCACAGAAGTCCTGCAGGTACTCCAAACATCCTCCAAAAAGGGTTACTATGTCCACTGGCAAAAACATGATGGCATGGAACATCTTTTCCAACTGTTTGCAGGAAAGAAAAGAAGAAGCTGCTGCCCATTGCTTCAAGAAGGCCAAATAAGATAGGAATGGGATGCTTAGGAGGGCTTCAGACTCTGCCTGTGTCTGATGGCAAGATTCCCCGTTGCATGAGTAGTGTCCTATCAAATGTGTTTTGTGTCTTCCAGGTCTTCCATAACTGCAGCTGTATTGAAGCCAGCAGTTCATGGACAGGAAATAACTCTGCCACTTTGGGGCAATGTCCAAAAAGTGAAGATTGTTCAATGAAGTTTATCTACTATACAGTAATACAAGTCATAAGTGGCTTTTGTTATGCATTGGGAGGCACCCCAGCATACCTGATTATGTTTAGGTGCGTAAAACTAACTGTGTACCAAAGGTAGAGGCTTTCCAACAAGGGCATCAAAACTATGTTTAGGTTTCTCTCCCTTTGGAATAAAGATTCTCTTGCAGTATCACATGCTTTCTTTAATGCACTTTGTCATTTGCTATTTGTTTGTAGCTGTTAGCATTAACCCTGCCTTTGCTGCTGCCTGTAAGTTGATTCTAGTGTATTGCTTCCAACTACTGCAAAATGGTTTCTCTCATGCCTGTCATACACCCAGGTTTTCTAGAACACATCCTTTTTGTTTGCTTGGTTATTCTGGCTGTATGGATTTTGAAAATGCTTGAAAATGCATTTCTGGATGTGGGGTTGCCCTAACAGATTGCATTTGCCAGATGTCTGGAAATTCATGACGTGTTTGGGCTCAGTCTGAGGCTCCTATGCTCCTGTCTGTCAAGGTACACAGGTTCGGGCATACCAGGATGCGATTTGGAACCATGTGTACAAATTAGCACATACTTTTCAGTAACCTGAAGAGAAAGCTTTCTCAGTAGAAAATGCATTAATGGAAAACTTAATGGTAGTCCTAAGAGCATTATGTCATCTTAAATAAGCATGGAAAACAGAACTCCCCTCCCTTCCTCATCTCTGTGAGATGCCTTCCAGAGTGTTGACCATTTTAATATTTGCAAGGAGATGGCAGAAGTTGGAAATATAATGGATTCAAGATCTGTGAGTGCCCATTTCTGATGCTTGGCGTGTGGTTCCAACAGACAGACATATTGCCAGATGGCTTTGTGTAGTTCAAGATGTGGCATTGTACAGAGGAATGTCATTCGAGAATAGAAAGATGCTGCACTAACGCACCTACTTGCAACATCTGTGTTTTAGGGCAATATGATGTATCCCATCAAGTGAGGAAAATGTATGCCATGGAGTTAAGGCAATTGGAGAGCCCATTTCAGTAAGATTAGGATAGACTGTGATTGAGACTTTAAAATTTAACTTCTTTAATTATGTTTAGGTGTATGAACTTTCCAGGAGCTATGTGATGGAAAACAATAGATTAATTCACCTTTTTCATACCACCTAATGTTTTTTCAGCAGATGTAGGAAGCACTCTCCCTCCAAAGTTTGGCTTTCTGTCATTAAGAATATTAAAGTCAGGGTAATTAACAGCAGTTTAATAGACATGTCTGAACACTAGATTACATAGGTAAATACTTCATACTTATCCCTCTTTCTTTCAGATGTGTTCAGCCAGAGTTGAAATCTCTTGCAGTTGGTCTATACACACTCATTATGAGAATGCTAGGTAAGAGATCATTTTAGCTGACATGCTGCTTCATATGGCTTTAAATGACACCAATGCAACCACTATTTGTAAAACAGATATATCCTTGAAACAGCTGTTAGATCCTTGGGTGTTCCTGAAGATACCAGGGTTTTTTCCTGAGGGTCCAATATTCAGTCAAGAGTTCATTGGGAAACTACCTAACACAATTCTGAAAATCTTTGATCTGCTGATTAAATGGTGTTGCAGTTCGGGAGCTTAGTGTCCCAAAATGGGAAGAGTTTCAAACCAAAATTAAAGTATTACCTTGTCTTTCTAAGCACTGACCCCTTTCCATAGGCTGCTTCTTCGGCACTTTGAACCAGCATGCTCCTTCCATTGCAAGGAGGAGTAGAGCCACTGTCACTGTTTCAAAAAAGCTGGTGTTTCTTTTCAGTGACTTGGAGATTAAATCTGATGTGCTCTCATCTTCCTTCTCTAAGGAACTTCCAAAAATGATCATTTGTCCCATCACTCCCTGACTACAGCACTGATGATCATAAAACACAGGTCTTTATAGATATATTACTGAGTTCAGATTCTCACAAGAGCCCTAGGGCAGAACAGTCCTACATCAAAATACAGGATGCTCCTGCAGGAATAAGGCTAATGTGAAACATAGTCCTGTACATGCTAAAACCTTCCCCTGAAGTTAATACTTGCCTTTACTTCAACAAGGCTAGGATTTTGTCCCATGTCTGCCAAGTTTTGCAGTAAAGCATAAGCTCATATCTGGCCAAGTCACACTAAGGATTTCAGCTGCTTTACCCTCATTCAGGCAGGAAGGACCATCAGTCAGTGTGGTTAATTCAGGCTATGCAGAGAAGAAGGAACAATTCATCAGAGACATGCTTGAGAAACCAATGTGCATGACTACAAGCCTGGCCAAACCCATCAGACCACATTTCCTGGGGACTGATGATCCACATGGCACAGAGAAGGTGTCCCAGATTACAGTGATTCTGATAAAGGACACCCCCACTCCAGTCCATTCTACCTACTCCCACTATTGAAGCATGTAACTTGCCACTGAACAAATAATATAAAGTTGATTCCTAAAAATATGTCTTTTCCTGTGACATCTTCTGACATTTTTGCTTGTTTCCTTCCAGCTGGGATTCCAGCACCAGTTTATTTTGGTGCACTGATCGACAAGACATGCTTGAAATGGGGAAGCACAAGCTGTGGGCACCAAGGGGCTTGCCGGCTGTATGACTCCAGTGCATACAGGTAAGGAAAATTAGGGCACAATAAACCTCATGCATTTCCTTTCTACAGATAGACATGCTTTGTTGTGCTATACTACAGTGTATGAAGCCACCCATCAAAAATTACGGACAGATAGTGATTCTGGACTCAGATTTAGGTCAGTCGAGAATTCCTGAAATTGAGAAATCTTAAGATCAAATCTAAAACTTAGGTTTTTAGTCAGTTTTTATGTTGTACAAAAATAATTTAATATCAGTGACAGATTCCTGGAATTAATTATGTATTTTTAATAACCTTTGAGTCAATTTAAAAAATTTAATATGGTAAAAAGATTGTATAATTTACCATCAAGAGGAAAGTTACTTAGATCTGCCTTATTTGCAGATAGTTTATTCCTATTGGCAAGAATGTTAACTTTGTGTATTGGCCACATTTGAGAGAAAAATAAATGAAAGAAAATAATCGTGACCAGCTGAAGGTGTTGGTTAAACACAAACACCATTGGTCTCCAGAAGGAATATTCCAGAGATTTTTCTCAGTTTCACTCAGACCTTGTCCACTTCCGATGTGTTTTTTATTTTTAAATACAATAGCCCACTCTGGTGTTCTCAACGTATTTCCAGCCCTAAAAAGTCTAAAGCCTTAAAGTGATCCAAAAATCTTCAGAAACAAAGGGAAGATGATGGAATTTTTGCTTTGCAACTATCTTCATAAGCAAAAAGAGCATTATCAATCCTTTAACATAAATTTTTGCAAGCAGAAATGTCCAGCTTATGGTTCCATTCACAAATACTGAGTTTTAATGTTTTCCCCTAAGCTTTTTTGGTGTATATGTGATCCTCAAAAGCCAGTGCTCTTCTTCAGTGTCTTTGAAAACTTCAGTGCTTAACACTATCTTCTATGGTCTATCCTACAGGTATGTCTACCTTGGTTTATCAGCAGTATTAAGAGGTCCTTCCTACTTGATCGCAGTCCTTTTTTATATATTGACAAAGAAACACTTTCAAAATAAGGACTGCAGGCCTATAGAAAATGGAGGAAGGGAAGATGCTCCTATGAATAAGGAAGATAATTGCAAGATCAAAGAACATTTGCCAGGTTCTTCTGATGCAGAGAATGAATCATGTATTTAGAAAGCCTCTTAGACCAGTGGCACATGAATCAGGACAGGTTCTTTTAGAAACAACTTTCACCATATTATGAATAACTAAGTAATAAATAATAGCACCATTCAGAAAGCAAAACTAATAGCAAACCTGTGATGAACAGCAACAAAAACTAACACGCAAATATGAAAGTGTCTTATGTCTGGTGCCGTAGTTACCTGGTTACCAGGAACAAACAGACAAGGTTACATGAACTGAACCAAATTCTCAACAGATAAAGAAAAACCCTCCCTTCGCACTTCCAATAAAACCAGTCTGCAATTTTTAGTGGGGTCAAAAATGACTGCTAGCAGAACAGCCCACAAAACGTGATGCTGATCCTGCATGCAGATCCATTTGGTAGACTGCCAAGGGAATGACAAGCTCACGGCTAACAGCAGCTTTCTGATCTCCTCAAATTCAATCAAAATTCACAGTAAAACCAAAGCCTTTAAGCAAAACATTTCCACCTTATCTAAATGAATCATTGTGGCAATTTTCCATCGCAAAATTGACAAAAGCAGTATTTTTCCAAGAAGCATTTTATCTTAGCTCAGCTGAAAATTTTATGCCTACTTAAACCTACAAATAGGTTCCCATTAAAGAAATAACTGCTTTTTAAAAATCTCAGTGGTAGCATTTTATTAAAAACTAATTCTTTTAGTTAAGTGGCTACTAAACTTCAGAAATATTTTGAATTTTGTAGTGATGTTTTCATAGCAGAATCCATCTGACACGTGCTCTTGACTTTATTGCTATGCCATGTACTGTCCAGCAGAGGACACTCAAACAACAACATTGCCCCTATGACTACTGCAAATACTCGATACATTTGTCATTTTCAGACTTTATTGTTCTGGGAGAAGTTCACCGTCAGGCAGGCAAAACACTTACCTGTGTTTTCATGCATCTTAAAACTTCCTCAGCACAAGCCTTTAGCTCATATATTCAAAGTTGCTTTTGTGTATTTGTAGGTTTGCGTTCATCATATTTGCATCACTCAAAGCTTGACGACTATTACTCTAAATAAAAAGATGTATACTTGCGTACCATTTCACAACAGTGTGATTGCATTCTCCGCTTGATACTTCAAAATAGATGCTCAGGGCTCAGTGGGATACGGTTAATAGACATGTTAGATGAAAGTACACTGAGCAAAATGCTGAGTTGTTTTCAAATGTGTTGTCTGTCATGACAGTCACTTAGTACTGATTGCAGCAGCTGAAGGGAAAAGAATGAGACTTTTTTTCCAAATGAAGTGGTATTTACTGGAGGCTGAGATTCTCCATCCGGCAAAAGTGATACGGCCTTTTCTTACAACTGCATTTGCAAACACTTTGACATATCCAGATACAGGCATACATAGAAACATTCATGGGAATGAGCTGTGGGACCTAAATGAATGAACTATCTTATCTAACTACTGGACTTGGGAGTGAGTTTTGGCAGGGAAAATAATTGCAACTGTCTAGTTCTGTTTGCTTTTCAGCTGCTTTGTCCACATGATGTTTCATTAACATGTGTTGATGCATGTATAATTTCCTGTGGTGTCTTTAAAACCAGGGCTTTGGGTGAGCCATTTTTAACCCAAAATCTGTAACCTTTCAAAATATACCAGTTTTAACTGAAAACTAGAGCTAATTCCAGATAATAGATTATGAGAACTATGCACAAAGAATCAACAGTGCCAGAAAAAGGTGGTATGGCCTTTAGCAGATTTAGGAAGCTATTACTCTAGACTCATGAGGCCAAGGAGGTGTCAATACGCCAGCCTTTTTGGACACAGAGAAGGCGGTTGGCAGAAGAAGGTTATAACCTGCTTCTCAAGGGAGTTTTCCCTTTTCTTGTGGGAAAAACGCTTCCAGTCAGAAACAGCCCAGCTGCCTTTGAATGCTACAGAATCTCACCACCTGCAAGGGAAGAAGAGAGAGAGAGCAGCACTTTGATTAGTTGCTAGCCTAGAAAAAACTGTGGTCTCCTCTCCATCATTAAAAAGCTACAACTGTAGGTCATGGATCTGTGGTGGAAGGAGAGTAAACACGACAAATTATTTCATCTCACAGTGCAATTCTGCAATTAATTTTGTGCTACCCTTGTGCCCTGAGAGCCCTTGCTGCATGAGAAACACTGTGCATGCCCACATGCACAAAATGGCAATCTCTGCTTCAAGGCGCATGCGTTTGAGGTAAGGCAAGATAGATATTGCCAAGCAGGAAATCAGCAAGAAATAATGATGACTGCTCCTAGGCATGTTCAGGAGACATTTGAAGAAAACTAAGAAGATAATTTTGAACGTCTTTACAGTTCTGGGAGGAAAGCTTAGATACAAGCACTTGGTAGTAAGATGTGCATGAATGTGTTTTAGCAATAATCTGCCTCTACAGCCACAATTTTTACACACTAAGTAAAATTAAATGCCTACATCTACTCCTTTATCCACTGCTGCGGTTAAAAGACAGGCTGATTTTATTCAGGTGCCTCCCTTTATGCACTGAAGTTTTGAACATTAGGAGTAATGGCTCTAAACCCAGAGGGACAGAGTTTACAATCCAAAAAACTGGAAGTTGTTGCAAAACTTGGGGGTGGGCCCTTGGTTTTCTTTGCTTATGAAGGTGGGATTTCTTGGCAGTGTAAAAAAGCAGTGTAAAAAAAAAACCTTTTATGGTTCACACTTAAAATGTCTCAGATCCTCTTAATATTTCTGATCTGGCCCAAGCCAGGCCAGGTGAGACCCCTGCAGAGGTGGCAGGTAACAGCTGAACAAACACGTCCCTGTGTTACCAGATTAAGAGTTTACCAGCAACATAAGTTTCTTGAAAACATTAAACTCTGAGCTTCATAAAAGAACACGAAAAGGGAGGCAAATTATAAATAATTCTCTTTCAGAGTAGAATGGATGAAAACAAAGAAAAAGAAAAGATGAAAGCATTTACATAATGAGCTCTGGGAGAGCAGGAGAAAATCAAAAATCTGATGAAAAGTTTAAGAAATTATCTTCCCCCCGCGAGAGAAACACAGCGAAGGTGACATGCTATGAACTGCTAAATAAATTTATGTTTCGGTGCTGTGCACCACGGGGGAGAGAAAAAAAGTACAAAAAGAAAAAAAGCCTTTTCCTACCTTGCTGTTTTCTGTGCTTAAAGCAGGCCAGGGAATTATTTTTGTCTGTTTTGTGAGCACACAGGAAAGTAACTGTATTTAATCTTTCCTACTGATGTCCAAAATGAGTATAGAAATACTTTTGGAGCTAAACATGCTTTGCTTAAGGTGCTTTCAGGGGAGTGTCTCCATTTCAAGACAAAGCTGAAACAGAATACATGTGGTTTTCCAAGGCTGTGTGTAGTTCCATGAGCTTTATGTCTGGATCACGGCAAAGCATGAGAAAGGTTCATTCAGCTTTTATGTGGTATATACTACCCCATGGATGCTATCATAATTTAATTCTGCAGTGGGATCTACAGGCAATAAAATATATCATAGACACATGATACAAACCAAAAACTTAATTTGTCGATTTTATTTTGGTGAAAGGCTATCTACTGGTGCAAATCCATCCACTGCGAATAACTTCATTTACGTGTCCAAACTGGAATTTATAAAACTGATTTCTTGGCTAAATGGCCATCTGTCATGCATTTTATCCAATGCAGCATTATCATCAGATGGTGACTTTAAACATATGCGTTTTCTTTTCTAATCAAATTCTGGGAATTTAAAAAATAACATTAATTTAATGCACCAGTATGAAATATTCTGGAGTAATGTGGAAACACAAGGAACGCTCTACAGAACTGTGGAAACCCATCCTGAGTGCCCTGCTGGATTATGGTCACAGACCTGACTAGGGATGGACCACTGATGTGCTCTACTCACTTCAAGGATAAATGTCTCTTGTGCAGTCAGATCTCTCAAGTCTGTCAAATAATAAATGTCAAAGTGTTTGCTATGTTCATCCAGAACCTTAGCAGTTGCTCATTATTTTTAAAAGATACTTGCTAGTGGTCAGTAATAGCACTAATTAGTTTTCTTAGTTCACCTTCTCGTGCATGCTTTCTGGAATTCCTTACTTCCAGAAATACTAAGCACCTGCAAGTATTTACTTGCAAAAGCTCCTTAGTTTCCAATTATTCATACTATTCGTTTTTTTCCTTCTTGAAAACAGATTTTGAAAGAGTTCAATAGCTGACTCATTTCTGAATCATCATTAATTTCAGCCCACTAGTCTTTTTTTAATCCTCATTTTAATACATCGGATTTAAAGTTGTTTGTTGTTTTCATTAACTTTAGGAATGCATTGAGTTAGTTGAAAAGAAGCATTATGAAGGGTAAGAAACGCTTTTGCCATCCAGGTCTCAGAACTGCCCTGAATCCATCCCTGTTAGAAAAATTCTTCACGGCTACAAGAAATCCAACAGCTAGTTCTTAAAGTCATCCAAACATTACCAGGTGCAGAACACCTGCCGCTGGGTGAGTTGTTATTATCTCTATATTGGTCATACTACTTAACAAGGGATGCACTTTGCCAGCTTGCAGTCAATTTGAACTTGCAACAAAGGCCAACATTTGTACTCATTGACATTCCCTGGAAAGCAACTGCAGATGATGCATTTAACAAGTATACACCTGTTTTTCCTGAAAGGCTTCAAGAGGATTGAAGGCTTCAACAAATGTAAAATTGCAGAACAAAACTGCCTTAGCCCTTAGCAGCAGGTACTGATGGATGGATGTATGGATGAACGGATGGATAGATGGATGAATGGATGGATAGATGGGCAGGCAAACATTCAAAATCAGAATAAAAATGTATCAATCCAATGCATTACCTAAACTATTTTATGTCCTAAACAAGCTGAATTGGTTGAAACACTTACTATACAGTGCAGAGAGTACATATGGGACGTCTTTGTAAGACAACAGCTTTTAGTGTTACTTTGAAAGTTGAATTAAGAGGGGAAAAGGAAAAAGTCATGGGAATACAAGTAATATGATTGAATGCAGTAACCAGACTAAATTGTCTGGTCTAACTTCTTCCATTAAAAAGAAAATCTGCAAATAATCCAGCCCATCTGACCCAGAAAGGCAATCTCTGGGTGGATCCTGAATGTAGGGCTAGGATTATTTGTGTTCCCACAAGAGCCCCTGCTCTGTGCAATTTCAACCTGAAG